CCCGGCCACGGCGGGCGGCCGTCCCAGCCTCTCAGCCCTCCCCGCCTGCTGGGGTCCCTGAGCAGCCTCCTCACCGTGAGCCAGCCTTCCACCCTACCCGCCCTCACTAAGCTCTTCCTGCAAGACCCTGCTGGTCCCGGCTCCCTGGCTTGCCAGCGCCAGTGCCACCATCTCCTGGGACTGTGTGATGCGAGGAGAGTCGCATCGTCTCTCTGAGCCAGACAGGACAGAGCTGATGTGCTGAGAGCCCTGTGTTCAAGTCTTAAGGAGCCCACCCCGCCTCCCTGCCCGGGAGAGCACAGTGCGGCTTCAGCGTCCAGCTGTGGAGACCCAGGCTCAGAGAATCCATGGAGTTTACTGAAGGACACGTGGGTGGGATGGAGGGGGGCAGGAGTCCCACCCAGGCAGTCTGAAGGTGGCATGGGGCCTACGAGCCCTTGAGACACACCTGCCACAGGGGCCAGGTGGACCATGTGGTCCTAGCACCACCACCTGGAGGGTGCCCGTCTGAGAAGCCTTGCTTGGCCGGAGACTGGGGCAGGACACAGTGGAAGGGGCAGTCTCCAGGCCGGTGGTCCTCCAGCAGGAAAGTACCCGGACAGGGCTCGAGAATTAGCATTTCTGACGGGCTCCCAGGGGACGCTCTGCTGCTGGTCCTGGACTAGATTTTGAGAACCCTGGAGGCTGGAGCTGGATGACACTGGGAGAGGGGTCCCAAATTTGGCCCCAACTGACCAGTTTTAAATCTTGCTTCGCCCAGTAACCCTGGGCAATCTTGGGGTACCTTTACTGCTCAGACCCTCATTGTCCTCTTTGTAAGAAGGGGTGGGGTAACAAGTCACTAGAGGACTCACTAGAGGACTCTAAGGTTGTCCTGGGGGCCATGGGCACAGTGACGCTCAGTAAAGGCCGCTGGCAGCGGGGCTGTTAGTGACCCCTTCTGCCACCTGCGCAAGCCCTTCCCTTCTCTGAGCCTCAGCTTTACAGGCAGAGATGCTGCCAACAGCCCCACGTGGTGCAATAAGGAGAGCAGGAACCCACAGGAGTTCCCCTCCTCTGGGCTGCGCCCACCCTGCTCCCTGCACTCACGGGGTTTCCCGGTCTCCACCTCCATGGCCTGGCTGAAGCGGCCACAGCCTGCCGAGGTGCGGGCTCGGACCTGGAACACGTATCGCGTGCCCGGCTTGAGGCCCGAGACGGTGGCTCTGGTGGTGACGGCCTTGAGCGTGGAGTAGCTCTGCATCTCCTTGTCCTGCCAGCGGAGTGGGGGTGGGGTAGGAGGCGGGGTCGACGAGGCCCCGCCCC